GCAGGAATCACAATATATTTCTCTCTTTGAGGATTGAGGATATCTTACAACCTCTTAACCTGTTCCCCAAATCCAGTTTTATGACCTTTCCCCACATGGAAGAAAAGCCAAGGTCTAGTCTAAGGAGAACTTAACCAATCCCTTCCATGATGTTACATCTTCCTGGAGACGGGTCACTCCCAGAAATCTCCCAGGAAGCCCTCCTCTAGCTGTCTGTGCTAGGGAGGAGCAGCAGGCCAGGAAAGTCATCCAACCATTTGCAGCAATTTTACTTGCAAAGATTTCCTGCTGTGGCTAAATGGTGTGGTTGCTTGGTTTGTTATTTAAAAGAGTACCCCAGTGAGGCCAGAGCCAGAAGGGGGGCCTGGGGAGAGTCAGATTTCAGCCTAGGATAGGAAAGAGCAGCTGGAACCCAGAGTGCCTCATTGAATCCCATAGACGGCTTGCAGAGGGCAGTGCCTGGTGAGCATCTCACACTCCTGGGGGATAACTTCTGTTGATCCTCCATAGATGACGTCAACACTTTACAGATCCTAACAGATGAGCACATTAAAACATTCCCAAGAAAGACTAGGGATGGCATCAAAAACTACAAAATGATGGATTTTGTGGTGAAAGACAATACAGAGAAGTGAGTGATTGACACGTAGAGACGGCGGAGACATCCCAGGGAAGAGCAGCAGGCAGGTGTATTCAACACCTAAGAAAAATCAGGGAGGGGCTGGTGCTGTAGTATAGCAAGTAAGGTCACTGCCTGTGATGTCAGCATATAACATGGGAACAGGTTCAAGCCCTGGCCACTTCATTTCTTATCCATCGCCATACTAATCTATCTGGAAAAGCAGCAGAAGATAGCACAAGTGCTTGGGTCCTTGCAGCCGTGTGACAGACTCAGAAAAAGTTTCTGGCTCCTGGTTGGCTATGCATTGCCCAGCTCCAGCCATTGTAGACATTTAGGGAACACGCTAGCTGATGGAAGACCTAAGTCTCTCCCTTTCTCTGTTTAACTCTTCCCTTCAAAGTAAATAACTAAATATTTAAGAAAAAAAAAAGCAAAGTTAGGATTCTTGAAACGGATGGAGAAAAAACTCAGAGGAAACACATCTGGCAACACTGCTCAGCCAGGGCTCAGCAATAAACGCATGCCTCAATGTTTCTTGATGTCTGTCTCTGCTTCTCTCCTCCCTCTCTGCTGTCTTTGCCCATCCTCTTCTCTCCATCCTGGGGCCTAAGGAATTGATTAACACCTGGTTGCTTTGAGGATGAACACACTTGAATCCATGCAGCTGGGCATCCACAGCCATCTGGACACTAACCTTTAAGGCACACAAGATGGAGGACAGCAGCCTGCCTTCAGGAAAACCTGAAGGTCTCTGGGACTCCACAGAGATGCTCACAATGGTTAAAACCGATTGTGGGTACGGAGACAAGAGGCGGGAGCCCAGGCTTCAGGGACAGTGTTCACATTTTAGCATAAAATCATTCAAGCAAACAGGAGATAATATCTGTTGATTATGGTTCACACATGGGAAGGCTTAAGATAAAAGGAAGCATTCTTGGGCCATAGTTTTAGACTAAGTAATAATCCATTTCATTTCTTGATGGTATTCGACAGATGTTACAGTCTCAGTAGTCCCTTATGCTTAGCCTTGGTTTTAGCTGGTAAAAAATTTTGAGGAAACAATCTGAATTGGATCTTAAGTTTTTGTAGAGATTTATTCATTTGAAAGGCAGACTGACAGAATGAAATCAAAGGGAGATAGTCCAACTATTGGTTCACTCCCCAGCTGGCCACAATGGTTGGGGTTGGATCGGGTCAAAACCAGGAGCCTGGAATGCCCTGGGTCTCCTTCATACATGAGTACCACAGGTTCAAATACTTAGGTCATCTTCCACTGTTTCCCCAGGAGTATTGGAAGGGAGCTGGACTGAAAGCAGAATGACTCCAACAGCATACAAATATGACATGTCAGACTGCAAAGCAGTGGCTTAGCTCACTGTGCCACAAGGTTGCCTTCCCATTTGAATGTAACACTGAACTCAGAGAGAACAAGAGCCTGCCTAACAGAATCAAGCGTAAGTTTTTAAATGAGTCTATGTTGTTTTACAAACAGGAACAAAACAAGAAAACTCCCTTTTCAAGTAGATGTGCATTGAGGTTGGCAAAATCTCATCCCTCCACATCACTGTGCCAGGAATGTGGACAGAGAAATGAGTGCAACAGAAAGATATCTGCACTCCCAGAACTGGCAGAGCAGGTTCACAGAGCTTGCCATTACTGTCCCCTAAATAGGGGCTTTATTGGAAAAGTATAAGGTGCAGCAAGGGCAGCTACTAGGGTGATGTTAGTCCAGAGTTGGGTCAGATTTCTTAGTGGCAATGATGCTAAGAATGAAGTCTGCAACACATACACAGGAGCATTCTTTGGCAAGGGACACATGGGGGAATAATCCAAGGCAGTGAAAACAAACAGCTGGAAGTAACAGGAGATATGGCAAGTCCTTGAAGAACCGAAGTAAGTCTCATATTGTGTGTGAAAGTAGTATTTAAGGGAGAGAATGACAAGAGCCTGTTGCCAAAAGACCAGTGGGGTTCACACTGTGGGAGACTTTATATACTATATTAAGGAGAGTGGACTTTATTTTAGGAGCAATGAAAAGCCACTGGAAGACATTAAGCAGGAGACTATCGCAATCACATTTTCATTTTAGATCACTATGACTGTAATATAGATTGAAAGGAAGCAGAACTGGAAGCAGAAAACCCCCTGCAGCAACACAAGTAAGAAAAGTGGACAGGGATATGGTCAAGGAGACACAAATATGCAAAAGCAACCCAAAGGCACCACAGGATTGAAGTCCACAGAAAACAGCCTAGTTAGCTATGACGTATCAGGCATATGCAACCAAGGACATCTTGGAAATTTTTATTTTAGGCTTCTTGGTAATAGGATGCATTCTTTACAGGCAGTAGAGATTCAGCTAGGAGAGAGTGGGAGGGCAATAAGAGATGAGATAAGAAGTTTAGCTTTGGATATAGCAAGATCTCAAATCCTAGGGCATCCAAAGGAACACATCTGGTCCACAGTTAAAGGGACAGACGTAGGAATTGAGAAAGAGGTTCATGCCAGAGATGTCACTTTGTGGCATGTGCATCTTTTGACAATCGCTGATAAAAGAAAGGGGTCTGGGCAGAGCCTACCTAGTGAAGCATTCCTAATTAAAGGATGTGTAAACATGAATGTGCTAGAACAGGTCAAATGGAACTTGAGATGCAAATACAAATACAGGATAGTCTCTAGGTGTGAAAGATGCAGAGAGTAGAGCTGAAAGAACAATAGGACTGGATCACAGATACAGTTACCTCAAAGCTGCTTTTAACCCTAATTCAGGAGCTTATAGCCTGAATCAAGAATTTAACCCTAAATCAGAAGTGTATCCTGGACACCACAGTCCAACTCCATTCCAGAAGTTGCACACATGTCAGCAGGTACCCATTCTACTTCCACCAAATTGATGAATACTGTTTTTGAGAAGCAGAGAGAGAGAGGATAGAAAGGAAGACAGAAGTGTTAGCCACTTGCATACTCCCCAGATATTTTCAATAGCTAGGGCTGGGTCAGGTGAAAGATGGGAGCCAGGAAGGAACTTAGTCCAAAGTTCCTTCAGAGACGGCAGGGACCCAATACTAGAACCTTCACCACTAATTCCCAGGGTCTATGTCAGCAGGAAGCTGCAGTCAAGGGGTGGAGCCATGAATCAAACCCATGGATTCTAGTGTATGGCATGAGCAACTTGACCATTAGACTAATCACCTACTTCTGAACGCATCTTAATACTCCAAAAATATAATTCTAACAATCTATTTCTCAAGATAGTTGACGGGTAATTGAGTAGGCATTATTTTTTTTCTGAATACCCTTTTGTGTATCTGATACGGCTTAGAAACAAATTCAAAGTGGATGTCCAAGACATAACATGAAGTGAAAGGAAGTCAGATGCTTGAACAGCATGTGTAGTTTCATTTCCACTTAGATAAAATTATAGATTGATCATATAGGTATACATGCATGGGGAGGTATCTAGAAAGACATTCACTAATTGTTCCAATAATGATTATCATTGGTTAACTGGATTTAAGGCCATTTTTCTTTTCTTTTGGTGTTACAGGCTACATCCACAAAAGTTTCATATCAATAATGAATATTATAAGCAGAATGCTACTCTACACGCAGTCATGTAATGCCCCCAAAAGGAGGTACTACAGTCCTGACTGGGTTTTGGCCAAAGAGGGGAGGAGAGCAGATCTCCACCCGTACCTTGGTCTTGTGAAACAAACAAGACTAAGAGTTACCAAAAAAACTGCACTCACCCTCTGAAAGGCACAGAGCAGAGAAGCAAAGGAGTACAGAACCAATCCTATTCCTTTACAGGAAGAATATTCTTCATGTGCCCACAGATCCATGGATGCTATCCTGCATTCCGCATAGTACAGCAACACGCCAGAGGAAGTGGACTTGTATGACCTCCTTTCTTGTTCTGTTGCATCTTTCCTAATGGTACAAACATTGAGGAACCAGGGAAGCCTGGGTTCAACTCCAGCCTGAACCACTCACTTGCGGCGACACTTTAGACAATTTCCACATCTACAAGCCTTTTTCTCTGTTGTTGTCATCAGAGACCAATTTTTAAAACTTGTCCCATAGAGCTGTTTAGAGGTATAAATGAGGTCAAACACGTAAAACATCTCAAGTAACATCCAGGTCATATTAAGTGTCCAGTAAGCAAGAGCTGTTTTGTATTGCTAAGGATAAGGATACAGTTCAGCAAGGTTTAGACCTGAAGCACTCCTATCACCATCACCAACTTTCACTGCAGGAGCCAGCCTTCCACCTGCTACCCTCTTGTACTGCTCTTTTCACAGCTTCTGAACCACCCTGTACAGTCTTTGAAGCTCTCCTCTGAACCCCACCACCACGACACCCTCTGTTTCACACTCACCTGTTGAGCATATTGGACTGGTAGATTCTCTTCTCATGGGTGTTGTAGCAGCTGCTCTTGGGCTCGGGGATGAAACTGTGTTCAGACAACATGTCGGAAGCAGCAGTGGTGATGATGGCAATTCCATCTCTCACTCTGGCAGGGAGACCGTAGTCCCACTCATCATATGATACAGAGATGAGCCCAGTGGGGAACTCCGAGGGCACTGTGTCTGTATCCCCTGCCACCAGGCTAGGCACAATCCATGTGTAGCCATAGCCCGTCAGCCCAACTGAGTTTGCCACTTCAAAGATGTAGGTGGCTTCTTCCTTGGTACAATAAAGAAGAATGATGGGACTTTGGAGTTTCTTGAGCTGATTCTGGATCTTTGAATCTCCATCATCCAGAGACATGTCAAGTAGGAGGACTTCCTCCAGCTCCCAGCCCACAAAGCTATTCTCGATGGTGCTGCGGATCTTGTTCACAAAGTCCTGGTAACCAGGGAAATAAGTGGTGACAATAGAAAAGATGTACCAGTCGTATTCTTCCATGATATTGAGCATCACAGAAGCTTGTTGTTCGATGGATGGCCCAAACTGGAAGAACATGGAGGACTCATCCTAGAATAGTAAAAGTAAAAAAAGAAAAAATCAACACAAAGATAGTAAAAACTTTCTATAAGTTAAAAAAACCACTTGCATCTTCTATATTGTTTCACATAATGTCTTTAGTCTTTTTTCAATAAAATGCCTTAACTGCTTGAATTACAATATTTTAATACCTTCCCCAGTAAATTTCTTTAGGCTTATAAGAAAACCAACATAGGTCTATACTCTTTTTTTGTCTAAAATCCTCATGGTCTCTGCTAGAGCTCAGGAAACCTTCCCCAAATCAAACATGCTAGTATTTTCATGAAAAACAAAAATACAAAGCGCCACATCAAGTGGAATACGAGCCTCTAAGAGGGCTCATGTCGGTTTAGGTCAGGTGTTGCCATCAAATGAGCTATATTAATTTGCACACTTTCATGTAGATACACACACACCTTTCCTTCAAGGTTTTTTGATGTCTTGATTCTAGATGTGCTCCACTTATCCATGGAGTAAATAATACAAATGCCAACCTATCCAGGGAGGTGGCTCAGTGGCTGTGAAGGAAGATCATGGTCAGCTATGGCTTGCAGGGAGAAACATGGGCAGAAACATGGGCCTTCTGTAAGCATTATTTAATAGCATGCTTAGGTTTCTGTAAGTTTTGCTCTGAGAGTAAGATTTACAAGTTAGAGTCAGGCTCAGAGAGTACACATGAAATTACTGGTATCTAAATTCATATGGGATTAAATTTCATTTTAAAGTTACATACAGAACCATTCTTTTATACTTACAACACCAGAGAGTCTGGTCTGTCTGATCTGATCATTAAACATTTAGCCTTCTGTCAATTTTGATCATCTCCTGTTCTCTCCTGCCTTCTGATGGGGAAATCATTTTAAAAACTGTATTCCATGTGCTGCTCCACAGCTAAGCTCTACATTTTCCTTAACAGCTTGAAATACCTGAAACCATAAAATGAACACCCTCTTGGCCTTGCCCTTCTCTTGTTCTATTTTCCCTAACTTCCATATGATACCTTTTTTTCTTAGTCTATGCCTCTACCTTCTACCTATGGCTCATCGTTGGCTTTTTTGTCTTGTTTTTTACCCACCAAGGCTCAAGAAAATCATTATTTTATCCAGGGAACAATTCCTTTTTATTCCCCAACTAGAGCGCCAAAGTACAGTTACAAGAGACCAAGAAACAGAGCTTTTATACAAAATTACATAGCGCTTGCTTAGTTTCAGAATGTATTGTTGTACAGCTGAGAAATTGCTGAGTATTTAGGTACCCTCAATTGAAGAAAAAAAAAAAAAACAGGTTGGGAAATATCCAGCTGGTATCCAAAGATCCTGATTCGGCACTGAGCACTGCCAGCCCCTTGGCTGTGCCAGAGCTATGTTTGCAAATTATGGCTTACATTTCTGCATTTTCCACAGGGTGTCTAAAAGGAACCAGGAGATGCTTGGTCATGCGGGGGCCAATCCTCCAACTAAAGGCAAAATTGTGTTGCTCATCACAGGTCCCGTTTTGGAGAATTAAAGTTTCAAAGGGGCCTCTTGGGACGCTGGAATTCAGAACAGCAGGAAGAATGGGGCACCAAGAGTGAGCAGGCAGGGGAAAGGAAATGGATTCAGAATTGAATAATTACAACACATGTGGTCATTCTAGACCCTGGTGAGTTCCTGAACTTCCCTAGGGCACATGTGCTGCTCTTCCAGCAAAGCTGACCTTATTCTAAGATAGAGGTGGCGACTGGGTCACAAGTAATATTCTAAGAGACATTCCTGAGAGCTGCCCTGCCCCTTTCCCCTTGTGGGGACACAGGGAGAGGATGCCATCACAGAAACACAGGATGGGCTTTTATCACACTATCTGCTCACATCTTGATCTTGGACTTCCAACAAAAATTTTTTTAAAATGTTGGTCGCTTATCAGCAACCCTGTGTATGGTATTTTATTATAGCAGCCTGAAAGAATGAAGACAAGTGGGAATCAAAGACAACAAAGTTTAATTACTCCAAGATTTGTCAGGCCTACAGGAAATCTCTACAGCAGGGAAAGGAGGTGACAGAGTTTGCCTAGAATAACTGTCACTTTAAAGAAATAGCCATTTGTTTTTCTTGTCAAGCTTCTAGCTAAAGGAATTTTTGGAATTCTCAGATGAGAGATATGATCATTACAAGATTTTCCACAAGCCTATTGGTTTTAGCAAAGTGACAATAGCTTTCAAATATACTTTAAGGTGTACAAGCCTGGGATGAAAACGCTCCCAGTTGCCAAACAAGCAAGTTTAACTGGTCTGTGATAAATGAATGGATCTTATCATCAGGAGGTACTTGGGTACACACAGAGTGTCACAGACTGCATATCCCAAATGTATGGCAAGAGAGCGCCTGGAAAGAAAACTGGGGAGCAAATGAGCTCATACTAACGAGATCAAATTTAAAACAAAACCAATCTATGAAATCCTGACCTGACTAAACCCTTAGTCTTCCCTGAATATTCTCAGAATTAAAAATGAGCTTGGAAAGACACTACCAGTTATCATGTGAAGAAGGCTAACGTGCGTCGAAAGTAAGGAAAATGAGTCACTAACTTGGTACCATCATTCCTCCATCCTAGCCCAAGTTTTTCTTCTTCTACTACTGTCTACACAACCTCATTCTTTTGGGGCCTGCTCTGCCCTTATCCTTCCTCAGGTCAAACATTTTAAACAGCCAACCTTTCATTAAATAAGGACACCTCCTATGACCATTTTAGCTGGCACCAAAGGAAATGAACAAAGCCAAACAGAAATCAAGAGTTAGAGTTATAGCTTGGGCAAATGTTTCCCAATATAATGAGTAGTCCAGTGTTATTAATTTAGTTGACACATCAATCTGGTGCACAGCAAACAGGGAATGGAACAGCTCTTTTTTCCAACAAAGCTCTGGGCTAACCATAAGTTGCAAACAGTGACAGGCTTTGCAAATTATGGCCAGAGTCACAAATCAAAGAGCAATCTTCACGTGTGCAAGGAGTGGAAAGGACTGATGGCCAAGCATCCATCTTTGCAGGCACTCAGCATGCACCGTGATCACAAGTGATCTAGGACGAAGGTCGGAGATGTAATTCTATTTGCAGGTCCCTGGGCCACCCCATCTCATACTTCTACCTCCTAATGTCATGATCAAATGTTGACTTGCAGGGGTCCTGGGAAGATTCCCTTTCACACTGGTAGCAGGAACTTCTCCCATTTGCATCTCTAAAACATTCCTATAGCAAAGGCCACCTTCCCAGATGGAGAAGTGATTACCATAGGGAAGGTACATTAGGCTGGATGGTCTAGGACCTTCCTGTTGGAACTCCATCACTCTGGTCTGGATGTCCCTTTTGGGGTCCAATATAGGAAAAATACCCCCAAAACAGACAGCTTTTTTTTCCCCAATGGAATGGGCCTCTGAAGGTAGTGAATTCCCTGTCATTATAAGCATCCAAATAGAGCTGAATTATTCGTTGACAAAGAATTTATCCTCAATTCTCTGGAAAACCTCATGTAGGAAATCTTTTCATATTTACCCTCTTCAAGCTAATTCTTTCTCCCTGGGATTTTTCCTTCATTAGATGCACCATTCTCTCATAACTCTTGTCACATAATAAACACACACACTTGTCTCTTGCCACTAAAAATCTGAGCTTCTCAAAAGCAAGAACTGCACTTTACTCATTTCCAAATCCCTAGGGGAGCATATAAAAATGGATTTAATGCTTGCTGGATTAATATTACAAACATATTGCTTTTATTGGTTGGAAAATTAACTACAATGACCTTGACGGTCTCATTCAGATCTGAAACTCGGGGCTGATAGTGCCCATCAACCTCCTGGAAACAAGGAGTGCTGGAACTGCCATACACAAACCAGACTTTTACAAAATTAGGCTGGAGGTGATGAGGGTACATTTGACCTAGCTGTTAAAATGCCCTTTGGACAACTATACCCCATTATCAGACTGCCTGAGCTGAAGTGCAACCTGAAATTCCGAGGTATGTCTCTCAAATGAACAAGGTAAGAGGGTCGCTCTCTCTCTCTCTCAATCTCTCTCTCTTAATCTCTCTCTCTCTCTCTCTCTCTCTCTCTCTCAATTTCCCTTCTCTTCCTGCCTCTCAGATTTTGAGATCACTTTTATCACCAGTCAAAAATACTGTCAGCACTTCTTACTCCCTTTCTCAGGAAACTCCCTAAAAACATCCCCTATATTCATTTCTTGCGCTCTCCTCCCATTCTCTCTTAAAGCAACTCCAATCAAGCTTTGGACCCCACCACTCCATGAAATTTCCCTGGTAAAAGGCAGTGGTGACCCTGATATTGCTAACTCTGACATCAATTTCCAGTCACTCTTAACCTGTTGGCAACCGTTTGGCCTCCTTTCCCCAATTGCTACAGAGATTCTCCCAGTGATTTCCTGGTCTCTGTATCTACCTCCTCCAGTCTATGTTCAACACAGTAGCAGGATGATCTTTTCAAATCTTCAATCAATGGGTGGGCATTTAGTTTAGTTCAGATGCTTGGGCCTTCCACCAGAACGCCTAACTCCAAGTCCCAGCTGCAGCTCATGACTCCAGCTTCCCACCAACACACACATGAGCTCCTGCTTCCTGCCTGCCTGCCTGCCTGTCTGCCAGACCTGGATTGAGTTCCCAGTTCCTGGCTCTGGCCCCAGCCTAGCCTGAACATTAGGCATAGTTGAGGAGAACTTCAGATAGGATTGATCTCATTCCCCTATCTCCAGCCTGTCTCTTTCCTTCACACAAATTTTAAAACTGCAAACAGATATATATAATCAAATCAAGCTTAAATTTGCTGGCGATCCAACTGTGATTATAGTTATCTTCAACTCTTCTACATGTTTAGCTCTTAGATTTACTTGTTTTTATTGAACAGGTATATTTACAATGAGTAGGAGAAAGAGAGAAAGATCTTCCATCTGCTGGTTCACTCCCCAAATGGCCACAATGGCTAGAGCTGAATTGATCCAAAGGTAAG